TTCGGTGTAGACTATCTCTGCTGCTATCCTTTTTGCGAAAACCTCTGCTTGAAATATGCTGCAATGATCAGGTAACATTACTGTAAATCCTGGGCCGAGGTATTAGGACTTTTTACGGCACCCTCTCCTCAACATTGCGCCTCAACAGCAGCTTACTACCCAAACCTACTCCCAAATACTTTGTGTTGTCTTTGGTTGAAACTCGATGCTACCTAGGCTCAGGGGTCTCCACTCTGAGCCTTATATCTTCTTGTGGAAAGTATAAGTTCTGTTTTGTCTGCATTAACCCCAAGCCCCGCTCTAGATGCCCATTGGCCAATTACTTTCAGGGCGCTGTTTATTACATTACTGATATAGTCTCAATTACTATATCTTCTGCATATGCCCCTAGTTTGGGCTCTTTCCCCTTGCATTTCTTTAGTAGTTTGTTGACCGTAAATAGTCATAATAGTGGTGAAAGTACGCCACCTTGCGGTGTGCCTCTATATACCCGTCTGATTGCCCTGACGTCGTTCCACTCCTCTCTTATTTTCCTGTGGCCTAAAAAGCGTTTAATCTACAGCGAAATAGTTAGCAGGTTCTACGTCTATTTATTCGATGCTATTCATAATAGCTTCACTTGATACATTATTTAANCACAGCAGCTTACTATCCAAGCCTACTCCCAAATACTTTGTGTTGTCTTTGGTTGACAACTCGATGCTACCTAGGCTCAGGGGTCTCCACTCTGAGCCGTATATCTTCTTGTGGAAAGTATAAGTTCTGTTTTGTCCGCATTAACCCCAAGCCCCGCTCTAGATGCCCATTGGCCAATTACTTTCAGGGCGCTGTTTATTACATTACTATGTCTTCTGCATATGCCCCTAGTTTGGGCTCTTTCCCCTTGCATTTCTTTAGTAGTTTGTTGACCGTAAATAGTCATAATAGTGGTGAGAGTACGCCACCTTGCGATGTGCCTCTATATACCCGTCTGATTGCCCTGACGTCGTTCCACTCCTCTCTTATTTTCCTGTGGCCTAAAAAGCGTTTAATCCACAGCGAAATAGCTAGCAGGTTCTACTATTCTATTTATTCGATGCTATTCATAATAGCTTCACTTGATACATTATTTAATGCTCCGGAAATATCCAGAAATACCCATAGAGCCTTCTTGATGAGTTGTACTAACGAGTCTAGTGCAAAGGTGAATAACCTTCTGGAGCAATACTAGGAATATTCCGTCTACTACTGGGGATTTATAAGGCTCAAAACTTATGATTACCCATTCTACTTTGGCAGAAGTTATGGTGAGCACTTACCAAGTCTTCTAGCGACTCCTCGCTTGGATTGGTCCAGTCCCCGCAACTCTTACGTATAAGGCTAGGTGCGCTTGGAATCTTGGTTAGAAGTTTGCTAAACCTGCCCACCTCGCTTTTTTCTCAAAGCTCTCACAGAAGTCCCTCCAAGATTTAATCTTTACCTTTCGCACTTCTTTTTTATCCGATGTAAGTAAATATTTGTACTCCCCCAGCTACCTTGGCTAATTTGTAAGCATTTCAAAGGATCGATGTTAAGTGTTCTAACTCCTTAGCCAAGTTCAACCTTTGTGCTGGTGATGTAAGAACAGTGGTAAAAGCGAAGATGTCCTTAGTTGATTTATCGATCGTGCTGCAGTGCTGCAGGCAAACGACTTAANGTAGTGCAAAGGTGAATAGCCTTCTGGAGCAATACTAGGAATATTCCGTCTACTACTGGGGATTTATAAGGCTCAAAACTTATGATTACCCATTCTACTTTGGCAGAAGTTATGGTGAGCACTTACCAAGTCTTCTAGCGACTCCTCGCTTGGATTGGTCCAGTCCCCGCAACTCTTACGTATAAGGCTAGGTGCGCTTGGAATCTTGGTTAGAAGTTTGCTAAACCTGCCCACCTCGCTTTTTTCTCAAAGCTCTCACAGAAGTCCCTCCAAGATTTAANCTAGTGCAAAGGTGAATAACCTTCTGGAGCAATACTGGGAATATTCCGTCTACTACTGGGGATTTATAAGGCTCAAAACTTGAAAACTTATGCAGAAGTTATGGTGAGCACTTACCAAGTCTTCTAGCGACTCCTCGCTTGGATTGGTCCAGTCCCCGCAACTCTTACGTATAAGGCTAGGTGCGCTTGGAATCTTGGTTAGAAGTTTGCTAAACCTGCCCACCTCGCTTTTTTCTCAAAGCTCTCACAGAAGTCTCTCCAAGATTTAATCTTTACCTTTCGCACTTCTTTTTTATCCGATGTAAGTAAATATTTGTACTCCCCCAGCTACCTTGGCTAATTTGTAAGCATTTCAAAGGATCGATGTTAAGTGTTCTAACTCCTTAGCCAAGTTCAACCTTTGTGCTGGTGATGTAAGAACAGTGGTAAAAGCGAAGATGTCCTTAGTTGATTTATCGATCGTGCTGCAGTGCTGCAGGCAAACGACTTAAGGACAGTGCTCCCGCTTCGGAGATTTTTGCTGAGCGTGGATCGAGTACAAGGGCAAGCTATCGAGCCTTACAATTCAAATTTTTGTGCTATCAACCGCAATGTGATTACAACAACAAAACATATAAAGCTAGGTAAAAGCGAAAAGATGTACAATGAAAATTGCTAGCCTATTTCAAATGTTTTTTTATTTTCATTTTTAAAATTGGTAAAATTTTCCTTTATTTTTATGAGTAGTCAATGTTTTAGATTTTTCTTATTAATTGAAAAGTAATTTTGAACCAAAATTCACATTGTTTCAACACAATTTTTATGTATGTACGTATGTATTTGTTTATGTTTTCCAGTTTTTTTCATGAACCAAATATACAAGAATACGTAAGATTTGCATTTGTTTTTGAAAAGAAAATTGAAAGCAGGTTAATCAGCCGACCACTTGCTTACATCACAAGCACCACTATTTTACACTTTTCTTTAACTAAAGAAGAGTTAATTCAGGACAACACGTTTTAAAATATTTGAATGACTAATTTCACCTAAATGGTGCGTTTAAAGTGGCTGGCAATAATTTTGGTTCTCGTTGTTTTGTTTGCTTTGTTTACTCTTCGTTCATTTTAGAGCGGAAGAAGATGGCGTAGGTACAACCCGCTCATTCATGGTTTCTTTCACTTTATATTGAAACATAATGAAAACAAAAATTCGCAAATATTTTTTTTTTCTTTTAGAAGACATGTATTTTTAATTAAATTATTATTAACTAAATCAGCACGTACATTATAATGTATGAGTTCAACATTTGCACGAAAAAAATTAGATAAATCTACACTTTTTATAAATTTATACATTTATAATATTTGTAACTACATAATTACATTTCGTTCATATTTATGTATGTATGTATGTATGTACAAATAAACAAAAACTCAGAGGTTCAAGCGGTTTTAGGTAAACGTTACATAACTTCATTTAAATAAATTAATTTATTGGCAATAAAATAATACACAAAATAAATACTATGAACTTATCGCTAACTTAATGTGATGTAAGTTTGTATGAGAAATTAGCTGTGGTTGGAAGAGTGCGAATTGTTGGCTAATGTTTGGAGAATGGATTGAACTGCTTGGAGCATTATTATTATTGAAGTGAAAAAAATTTAATTAAAACCCTTATTCAACACACGAGTATTAGTTTTCTTTCTTCAAAATTTCACACATANAAATGCAATAAACTATTTTACACCCCAATGTCGGTATTGAAGTGAAAAAAATTTAATTAAAACTCTTATTCAACACACGAGTATTAGTTTTCTTTCTTCAAAATTTCACACATATGGCAGAACTCAGTTTTGCAACCAATTCTCTATGGGCTATTTAGATCAAATCTGACTTTGAATTTACATGTGAAAAGGGTCAAGAAAAGACTAAAAGAAAATACTAGAGTAGTTATAAATTATATGGCTGTTGACGGCTTATTTTTAACATTAACATTGTAGAAATCATAAATTAAACATATGTTCGTAGTCTTAAGTAAAGTATTTTACGAACTCGGCTGACAAGAATGTGTTTTGCCGAAAGCAAAAGTTTACTAACTAAAAATTATTAGTAAAAATAATTGCTGTTAATCTTTTTTTAGAGAGCCCAATTTGCCAGAATATTGCGAAATGTTTATATAAATGGCAATGTAGCGCTTGTAAATGCACGAAAATTACAAAGAGATAGGCATTGTGATAAAGAAAAAGTTATAGCTCAAGCACTAGCGTCTGCGACCTAAAATTACAAATTGACTTTCCCCAATTTTCCCACGATGTACGCACAATGTGCTAGACTTGAGATGAACTTATTAAAATTAAAAATAAAGTTTACAAAAGTTGAACAGCCTCCGATGTTATGTTTTCTTTTTTGTTTTTGTTCTTTTTCTTATTATACAAAAATGTATGAAATAAACATACATTCCGTTTGCATAATCACAATTGTCTTTTTTCTTTTCTTGTAGTTTTTCTCTTTTTTTTTTGGTTCCATTTGTTCTCTTAGTCTGTCTTTTCCATATCACGCAAACGTACATCTTCACTTTCCGCCGCTTGATCATGTCGCACCGCTGGTTTACGCATGTTCACACTAAAGCAAATGCGATTGAAATGATCACACATTTCATTCACCACATTTCTTCCATAATGCCAATGTGTAAGTGTTGTNAAATTTGCCAGAATATTGCGAAATGTTTATATAAATGGCAATGTAGCGCTTGTAAATGCACGAAAATTAAAAAGAGATAGGCATTGTGATAAAGAAAAAGTTATAGCTCAAGCACTAGCGTCTGCGACCTAAAATTACAAATTGACTTTCCGCAATTTTCCCACGATGTACGCACAATGTGCTAGACTTGAGATGAACTTATTAAAATTAAAAATAAAGTTTACAAAAGTTGAACAGCCTCCGATGTTATGTTTTCTTTTTTGTTTTTGTTCTTTTTCTTATTATACAAAAATGTATGAAATAAACATACATTCCGTTTGCATAATCACAATTGTCTTTTTTCTTTTCTTGTAGTTTTTCTCTTTTTTTTTTGGTTCCATTTGTTCTCTTAGTCTGTCTTTTCCATATCACGCAAACGTACATCTTCACTTTCCGCCGCTTGATCATGTCGCACCGCTGGTTTACGCATGTTCACACTAAAGCAAATGCGATTGAAATGATCACACATTTCATTCACCACATTTCTTCCATAATGCCAATGTGTAAGTGTTGTAATTATGAACAGCATATAGAGCATTACACGTTCAAGAAGCGGTATCCATAAGCCGATTCCAACGAAGATCACAAACACGGGTGTCAAATAATGGAAACTTTCACAACGTGTATTGGACATTTGCGCAACAATCAGGCGACACTAAGGAGGAAAAAGAGAAAATTGTTTATTAGTTGTGATGAAATTTGTAATGTTAATTAAAAATCATGCTTATATTATTTATGAGAATATATTGAAGTTAACTTGTAGGTTCATATCACCTAAGCTAAGCCATGCGCTTATCAGCTGAATTTGAAGTTAAAATCAAGCGTCTTGTATGAAAGTGCAAACGAATCGCACCCACAAGCGTACTTCTGATTATAGAATCTTATTTAAGTATTCAATATTATGTAGGCTAAGTAGCTAATCGGATGTGTACACTTAATTAACTAATAATGCGATTTCTCCCCGTACACTTATCAGTCGGGATTATTTTCTGTTTTGCAGTTTGTATTTGATTTAGTACATAAAAATACCTACTAACCTTCAATAAACAACAAACGCAACGACATACATGCAGAATCTTAAGTGTAAATAATAACTCATCGCCAACACTGATAGGTTATCAGCTACCTACAATGGAAAAGAAACTAAATTTCATAGACAAAATAGAATAAGCGCACATAAGGGGTGTGCTGCGTAGTAAGTGCATGCAATAGATACCAAAATTGTCATTTACAACTGCATTTTCGAGGCTGCATGAATTTCTTTATAATTTTTTACACACCGGTTAAGATTGTAGTTCACAATTGTGATCACTTAAGTGATCTCATATACATACATACTTATAACAGAGTATACGACTCATCTAGTTATTAAATAAAAAAGCAGAGTGTGAAGCGAATCACTTTAAGCTATTTGAATGAAGTCCAGTGTGCAATTGCCATTGTTATCGCTAGTATGATTAGAAAAAAGTATCGTTATCCTAATGTGTAAAGCATGCATTANCACATACATACTTATAACAGAGTATACGACTCATCTAGTTATTAAATAAAAAGCAGAGTGTGAAGCGAATCACTTTAAGCTATTTGAATGAAGTATGATTAGAAAAAAGTATCGTTATCCTAATGTGTAAAGCATGCATTACCAGTGAATCTTACGTTATATAGCCTATATTTGGAGAATATACAAACATATGTATAAAAAGTGGTAAGGCATGTCATAAATTCATAAACTCATTGAGTTTTCAACATATGGGGATTCCATGAATTTTTGGAGGAAAATGAATCATAATTAATATAAAGATAACGCTCGTTCAAACTCACAAAACTAGAAATCTAAAAGTACCACCTGTGACTGAGCACTTGTTGATATTACCGCTACATGTATTTTTTGTATCCTCCAGAGATCGGACATACATACTTACACTGACGTTAGAGAATATTGTGCCACTCAGCATAAACATTATGCGTGGATCTTTTTCCATTATTTTATTTGGCGAGATGTAGGGCCACAACAGCATTATGACCATGAATGAGAATAATGGCCATATGGGACGCATCGCTTCCTTGAGAGTGCGCATTTTGCCAGTACGTTGCACATAAGAGCTACAGAAAAAATAGAAATTTTAAAGTTTTTTCCATAACATACACCCAGTGTTGGCAAAATGTTAATCTGATTAAGGATTAAAAATTAACGATTAAAATGTTAATCGCGATTAACGATTAAAATTAATTAATCGTAATCATCTGTACGATTAATGATTAAATTTTTTCAATCGTTAATCGTCGGTTGTGATTACGATTAATTATTTTTTATCATTAATCGTTAATCAAATTAAAAAGAAATTCTGATTAAGTGGTCTAGTTTGTCCGAATTTGAAAACAACCAAGAGTTATAGTGATTATTTTATGTTTCACGCTTATAAAAAATACATAATATACAAAAAAAAAAAAGTATTATTATTTATATTAGTAATACATAAACAGGGAATTTTTACAACCCATCGCACATGTGCANCTTTTATGTTTCACGCTTATAAAAAATACATAATATACAAAAAAAAAATTATTATTATTTTTATTAGTAATACATAAACAGGGAATTTTTACAACCCCTCGCACATGTGCAGAAGGATATTAAAACCTAGTTTACATAACGTCTGTTGGAATAGATTTTAATGAAAACGCACACAAAATTGCTTAGATTGATGAGGAAAACCGACTTAGCCATACCCAGTTAATCGACCTTGTGTGCACAGGAAAATTCCAGCGTAAATTAATTAATCACCAAACCAACTTAATCAAATTAAGGGTTAATGATTAAAAATTAATTGTTTTAATCGCGGTTACGATTAGCTTTTTAACCAGATTAAAATTAATCATGATTAACTGTAATCGGATTGAATTTAATCGAATTAACTAATTGATTAAAAAATCAATTGATTAGTGCCAACACTGCATACACCATACCAATTTAATTCAAAACTACTCACTTATACACATTTATGGCCACCATCGGTGTATTAGCCATCGCACTAAAATGCAAAACGATTTCCATCATGTTCCCCNCCAACTTAATCAAATTAAGGGTTAATGATTAAAAATTAATTGTTTTAATCGCGGTTACGATTAGCTTTTTAACCAGATTAAAATTAATCATGATTAACTGTAATCGGATTGAATTTAATCGAATTAACTAATTGATTAAAAAATCAATTGATTAGTGCCAACACTGCATACACCATACCAATTTAATTCAAAACTACTCACTTATACACATTTATGGCCACCATCGGTGTATTAGCCATCGCACTAAAATGCAAAACGATTTCCATCATGTTCCCCAGGGTAATGCCCAGCGGTAATGTGCGTTGCCAAAACTCAAAGCCAAACCACCATGTTAACAGGTACATAGCTGTAGAACCCCACATGCTTAAATCATAGCCCCATGGCAAATATAGCACGCCCGTATTATACTTTTCCCAATGGGATATATAAAAATTTAGAAATACCATCCAACATACATAGTACATGCGTATGGGCGCCACTGAGTACGCAGGACTTCGACCAAATATACTATACAAACATGTGGGTATCAACACAGCTGTATACGAGTCCAGGCCGTGATCGAAGAGTTCACCCAGCGGTCCGGATAAGCCAATACGTCGGGCCTGTTTACCATCAATGCCATCTAATGTGTAAGCTAAAAAGATGTTTATCGCACAACATAACCACACCCATGATGGGATGGGTTTGGTGTTTGGTAGGCCGGAACTCGCGTAAAAATTCCAATCGTAGTAGGATAAAAGCAGGAAATTCACCACCGTACAGAGGAAGCCAAGAAAAGTCATAACATTTGGTGCTAGCCATCGCGGAAAGAACTGTGGAAAAGAAGCGAAAAAATATTTAGTATACAAAGCTATAAACATAACAAAAAATTTAGTTGAATATGTGCATATGTACATACATACATAGGTGGGTACACACTTATACCCATACGTACATTCATCGGCGTAGCCAGAATGAAATTTAGGGGGGGCCTCGACCCTATTAAGCTGGCATTTCAGGGTACTATTTTATATATATATAAGGAAAATTTGAAAGTTAGGGGGGCTCGAGTACCCCCCCCTGCCCCTACCTCGCTACGCCCATGCGTACATTCTAAAAGTGTAGTTGAAAGGCCATTTACTCATAAATCTAAACAGGTGTTTGCATTTGTCATTGGGTGGGAAATGAAAAAGAATCTATTGATTGTTTAATACAATGGCCAACATCATTAAGAATGGATTGTATTAGTCCTAAATGGTGTGAATGGAGCAATGTTTCCTCTATTTTGAAAGCATAATAGTGTATACATATTTCACTTATATCGGACTATCACATGACGTACTATACCTACGGTTATTGTCCACTAACAGGCTTGTTTACACTCGCATATTGATTTTTCTAGCGCAACCATATCAATACGTCAACTTTTTTGCGTTGCCCCGCATTTTTTAAATTTAATTCAAACAATATAGAGGAGGGTGCCCAAGTGACTCAGAATTACTGTCAATGAAGTCTGTTGCTTTATATGGCTTATTTTATTTACCTTGACAGTCCAATTCCAGAATGGGTGCATAACATAAACGCTCAGCGGTGAAGTATCACGTGCACTGTACTGGAATCATACAAACGTTATATAGCTTTTTAAAAAATTCTTCATTTCTATGCAGCACTCTACTTACCTTATAATTATCAAAGCCATTAAGTTGCTCCTTCGTGAGATATTTGTAATCCAACAATACTTGGAGCTCCATTTTTTGTTTGAGTCTTTAGAAGAGTCGCTTTGTCAGTGCTGAGGCGGATTCAGTTTATGCGCCAAATGCTGCGTAATTGGAAGCGGGTACAAAAATGTATAGCTTGTATGCGTTTTACAATGGAAGCGTGTAGTAATATTCACAGGTTATCCGCTTTTCATCCCACCTTAGTGCAAAACTAGAGCAAATTCAATTATATGGAATTTAAATCGCGATAACAACACACGTCGCTTGTGTAGTTGCTATTTTACAAGCATTGGATGCCTATACGCAAATAACTGGGGCCGTGTATGGTAATCAACAACCAGCTCATAAAGATGCGTCTGATACTGTTGATGAACAATTCAGTGGGTAGACAGATATAATAGACGGCAGGTACAAGGGGATCGTGCAACAAAGGAGCGCACACACATGTGCACTAATGCGATGGATGGCAACTTTCCACTGCACAAATCAAAAAAAATTGTTCACTTGTTCTGAAACAACTTCATTTATTTTCACGTTTCACAGTGTTCAACTTTTAAATATTGCATTCGATTTGTGGAAAAACTGGATTTGTGCACAATTTAATTCATCGAATTAATAAGAAAAAAATGCGTACGTAACACACCCCGCCACGAATTGAGCGCTTTTCAAAGGAGAAAAAAATATCGCCGACGGCTAAACTCGTGAACAAATGAGGCAAAAATTAAATTTTATTTTCTTTGCAAAACGCGTCGATTTTTGACATTTCGCATGAGTGAGTGTTGTGCGCAGTATTCGGACGTCACACGGATGAAATTTGATAATACCAGGTTTTGAAAAATGTTAATAAGTTCTTTTTCCATTTGTTTGCGCGTTTGTTTTTGCGGAAGGACAAAACCCAAGGTAGAGTGTTTTAATTTTTTATGCATTATTCTAAAAATGATACGNCGATTTTTGACATTTCGCATGAGTGAGTGTTGTGCGCAGTATTCGGACGTTACACGGATGAAATTTGATAATCCCAGGTTTTGAAAAATGTTAATAAGTTCTTTTTCCATTTTTTTCTTCTCCTCTTACTCGTCTGATATATGCATATGTACACATATATATCCTACTTTATATAAAATACTAATAACAGCTCAAATCTACCCAAATATGAAGCATATTACATATCCTTACATTTGTTTGCGCGTTTGTTTTTACGGAAGGACAAAACCCAAGGTAGAGTGTTTTAATTTTTTATGCATTATTCTAAAAATGATAAACACGCAAGCTAGTATGAAAAATTAAATACTACTACGAAAATTTTGTGAGTACACAAATTTTTTGAGTGACATACTTCTGAATCGAGTTGTAGGACTCCGAGCACTGGTAGTGCGAAAGCCAAGAGAGCGGACCAGTGGTGCCACTTAAACGTAGTTTTTTTTGGTACCAAAAAGCCTACCAGATCAAAGAACGTAAATGTACAAAGAACGTAAATGTATAAGAAGCGACAACTCGTTACTTTGAAAATGTGCCATTGTGTGCTGTGCGCTGTCAAAATACGAAGAGAAAAAAATCATAGCACAGTGCTTCTAAAACTGGGGGAATTTTTCATAGCGTCCCTACGAGAACAGTTTACCGTTTACCCTATACTCCAATACACTTATGTTTTCGTTCTCAAATCTAAAATTACTTCGAAAATTTCCTATAAATAGACATTAGAATAGAACGAAAACTCATACGTAAACAAAAATGTGCAGTAGCAAACGGTAAAATGTACCGTTAAGAATTTCATGGAAACTTTACCTAATAAACCAGGTTAGGCTTCCTGCAATTTATGGGGTATTTACCTAATCCGTACTGGTAGGATGTCACGGTTGATGTGGGGTTGATTCATGCTGTGTTCATTTATAAAATATTATAATAATAAAACCGCTTAGTTGATTTAGATTTATAATTAGTTGTTCTTTATTTAATCAAAGAATACTTAATTGATTTTCTCATCACCAAGTTTGTGTAGTTAATTAATTAATTTAAATAATGCTTCGTTTTATATACTTATATATGTAGTGTAGTTCTGGATGGGTTTTTTTCTTAACTTTGGACGTCTATTAGGCATATTGAAAACTTAACATTAAATACAATAAATATTGGTAAAAAAAAAGGCAAAATATAAAAAGCGTATACATGGCTTAAAAAAATAGGAACACAAATACCTTCTTTTTACTAAATATAATGATCAAAATGGAACTAATATTTATTATTTAACAGTAGTTCTAATAATTTACTATTTTGATATAAATATGTTTAACTAATAACTGGTTAAAGCATTATAAACACTTTAATACTAATTTAACTTTTCCTAAAGGAAGTTTGTAAGATTATTTTAGCTTTCGGAAACTAAGAAAAAAATATTTGATTTCGAACAGTCTTAAGAAGTATTTACTGAAATATTCCTCAAGCGTTATTGTTTTCTTTAAAATAAAAAAAAAAAAGTAAAAAATAAAAAATATAATTCGTAAAAAGTTCGACTACAATTGATTTGAAAAAAAAAAACTATTAAATTGCCGATAAATTTTCAATTTTTAGTATTAAGCATATATTCTTAAAAAAAAAAATCTTAAACTAAACTTCAAACATACGTATGTATACATATATTATGTATGTAGTATGTATATAAAACAATCTAGTAAGAAATGCATTGGTAAAAAATAGTAAATTCTTATAAAAGCGGCATTAATGCATTTTTAATGTTTCTTAGTGTTTAAAAAATTTTTTTTTCGTTATATTTATGCACAAATCCCTAGTAAATATGTGTACGTATGCGTTTAGGTAGTACGAGTATACATTCGTTATGTTTGTATGTAAATACTTATAAGAGTAGGTGTAACACATTTCTTTTAACGATTATTAAATCCGATGAATGAAGGCATTCAACGCATTCTAATGAATACGAAATATGTATCGTCATCTCTGCTTCCACATTTCTTTTATTTTCCGGCCAGAATTAAAGCCGCGGTCAGGCATTGCAAGCCAAATACTTTCAAGTAATTTTGCTATGAAAATTAAATTTTCATTTCTCATGCAAAATACAGAAAACGAACGTTTTGCCACTTTTTGGCAAATAATTTCGAATGGAAAACTTGCATAGCCGGGCGCAGTCTGTAGCCCGACTACCTCCCACAGTTTATAGTGATAGGTCCATTAAAGCAGAGACGAAATTTTTCTTTCTAATCTATAAACTACATAAGTATGTATGTAAGTACATATATTTTCTACTAAACATTATAGTCTGTTTTTTTTTTATACTAAACATTAAAGTTAGTTTGATTTTTTTGCACGTCGCCTTGTATTGCCAGGACAACCTGTCGAGCTCAGTAAATGTAATTTCCAACCACCATCCAATGGCAGGTGTACGTCATCATGACACAGTGGGCAACGAGCAGCGCCCGTTTTCAGTTCTGAAAAAAGTAAAATAAATTTTCTTTAAAATAGTTGATTTATTTTGTTAGATTTTCATTATTTACCTCGGCAGTAGTCCTCCATTTGATGTAAATCATACAACTGCTTGTGAACCGATTCTGTGCAGCGCTCACACATCACATAGCTGTCCTTTGCCTCACATTCCTCTGTGGATTTAAATTATCGATATATACATAGATATGCATATTTTTTAAAGTTATGCTCTACAGCCATGCGATTACAAAATACTCACTTGTCAGATGATAATTCATAGCCGCCACTTCTAGAACTTGGCTACATTGAGGGCACTTTGTTAGAAAAGGACATGACTTCCAGTAATGTCGATCCAATTGTGACTGATCGCTGCTACTGCAGCACCAATCGCAGAATGGGCAATGTCTGAAATACGGACCGTTGNAGCCGCCACTTCTAGAACTTGGCTACATTGAGGGCACTTTGTTAGAAAAGAACATGACTTCCAGTAATGTCGATCCAATTGTGACTGATCGCTGCTACTGCAGCACCAATCGCAGAATGGGCAATGTCTGAAATACGGACCGTTGTAGATAATAAATGTAATTAACAATTTCATAAGGATCAAATATCAAAAAGCTTGACGGTTATACATAGAATATATTTAGGATATATGCGAAGGAAAAGCCAATATTTCATTAAAAAATTTGCGCCACAGGTTTATCATGATCGATACTTACCGATATCAACGTAATATAATAAAACTGCGTTTTTAGTTTTTCTCTCTGGCGTCCGGACTTTTTTAAGGAATTTGAAATTTGAAAAATAGTAATACTTAAAAAATACTCAAAAAAAAAACAGTGCAATGTAGAAAAATAGAATAGGTATGTTATTAAAGAGAAAATTTTGTTGAATTAAAGCAGGTTCAGTTTTTTGGTGCATAAGGACGAGTAGGTATTGAAACTGGGTTTTTAAAATTGNCTTTTTTAAGGAATTTGAAATTTGAAAAATAGTAATACTTAAAAAATACTCAAAAAAAAAACAGTGCAATGTAGAAAAATAGAATAGGTATGTTATTAAAGAGAAAATTTTGTTGAATTAAAGCAGGTTCAGTTTTTTGGTGCATAAGGACGAGTAGGTATTGAAACTGGGTTTTTAAAATTGAATCCTTGAATATCGTTCAAATTTGGCAACAATTATTTAAAAAAAAAATTATGTGTTGTAAACTAATATACAATTCATTAGCTAAAAAAATAATAAAATTAATAAAAAAGGTACTTTCAATACCTATACGTCCTTGTAAACTAAACCATTTTAGTTTTTTTTAATTTTATAGAATTTTCTCTTTCATTCGGTATCCACATAGTTATTGTGCATAACACTGCTTTTTAAATAATTTTTAGCATTAATCATATTTTTGAAACCACAAAGTCCTTTTTAAAAAAATCCTGACGTCAAAGAGAAAAACTAAAAACGCAATTTTACTCTATTTGGCCCATAGTTTCGTGGTTTCTTAATTTTTTTGTCGCACGGTGTATTATTTCGTTATATTAATCGAATCAATTTCGTTATATTTATCGATGTCATAATCGATATATGTATGTATTTCTAATGTCATAATCATAGACCCGGACTTTTATAACTTTTATAATAAAAGTCGTAAGAAAAAAGTTCTTTGGACTTTTATTTTATTTGAAATAAAATAATCGGTCAATCAGGACTTTTATTTTTTTTAGCTCAATAATAACAATTAAACTTGGCCAAATATTTTTTAAGGCCGTAATGAAAGTCCTCTCCATATAATAAACAAACCGCTTATAAATTGATGCAAAATGTACATAGGTTCTTCCTAAAAATTTATAAGTTTCCGTATTAAATAAATTGGGGATATACACATTTATAAACTTTACTTTTCGTACTCAGAAAAAATGCCNGAATCCTTGAATATCGTTCAAATTTGGCAACAATTATTTAAAAAAAAAATATGTGTTGTAAACTAATATACAATTCATTAGCTAAAAAAATAATAAAATTAATAAAAAAGGTACTTTCAATACCTATTCGTCCTTGTAAACTAAACAATTTTAGTTTTTTTTTAATTTTATAGAATTTTCTCTTTCATTCGGTATCTATATAGTTATTGTGCATAACACTGATTTTTTAAATAATTTTTGGCATTAATTATATTTTTGAAACCACAAAGTCCTTTTTAAAAAAATCCTGACGTCAAAGAGAAAAACTAAAAACGGCACCGATTTGTTCGTAATTCGCATGGTAATTGGATCTGAATTACCACCAAATGAGCTAATTCGCTCTCAAAATTTTGTATGGCGAATTACGTTATTCCAAGGGTAATTGGAGTGCGCATTACGAATAAGAGAGCGAACTACGTAATTGGGGTGCTGTGGGAAAGCCGTATTATTAGATGCGTTCGACAAGTCAAAAATTTGTACTAGTCTTTCCAAATTTTTACTGGATGGCGTTCGATAACGACAAAAAAATATCCAACACAAAAAATTTAGAGAGCNTAGTTGCGTTCGACAAGTCAAAAATTTGTACTAGTCTTTCCAAATTTTTACTGGATGGCGTTCGATAACGACAAAAAAATATTCAACACACAAAAATTTAGAGAGAGAGCAAGCGTTCATTTTGATGCAAGAGAAGCGTTCATTTTGTACTGGCAAAATTTTAGTCAGCAAAAATTATCCAACACGAAAACATATGATCACAAAACATATGGTTGCAATTTTTGTAAACAAACAAAATTGCACTTTTCGAGTTTTGGTATTTATATGCTTTTTGGCTGCCTGCTATGTGACTTTATGATAGTGCCAACTAGTTTTTACTTCTAGAAATATTCCTGGCGAACATTGAACGTTCACTTTCCTTTTTTCTCTATGGAGGCAACATGAATTTCAGTTTGTTTACAAATAAAACATAAACAAAGTCAGCTGGTGTGTCTTCTTCTTCCGGTTTTTGCAAGTGATGGCTAATTTCCTGTTCGTCTACTTTTTTGCTTTTTCTTCTCTTTGGGAGAGAATTTTCGCTTACTCTCTTGATTTTGATTGTTGGCTGGTGTTGGCTAATTTTGTTATCGAACGCAACTATTTTCGGTCCCTGGTCATAATCGATGTACTAAGCGATATATATATATATATATATCGAAATAATTATCGATACCAATATATCTATTTGTTGATATGATTATCGTCATTACCCGTCAGTATCGCTAAATTTTAGGTTATAGTTTTTGTAAAAATTGTCGATATCAATTTTGTTATACAAACATAGTTCTCGATACTAATATCGATTCATTAGAGTTAACGCCATATTTATGGTTCTGTAGCCCGTTTCTGTAACTTTTCTCTACCGATTATTTCTCTACTGGTAGAGAAAATATGTCACTCTCACCTACTAATTAGCAGTAGAGAACAGGGTGGCGAATTCATATCTCAATTCGCCTTGGTAGAGAATTGTTACAGAAACGAGCTACTGGTTTTAAATGTATCGATAAAGTCTAGTAGTACTTAATAAAATTGTTAAACAGTGCCAAATTAAGCTCAATTCCAAGGTGTATTAAACAAGGTGGTGTTGGGGCGACAGCTGAGTTTTTCGCCGTGGAGGCCATTACGTCAAAATGATGTGTTTGTTGTAACTCATACCAATGACAGTATGGACATCAGCGTATAATTTGTTAGTGTAATTTTTTACTTATATACGGCCAACACCACCTTGTTAAATACGCCTTGCTCAATTCTATATCGGTGACAAACGATTTTTTACTGACAAATTTAAAATTTTTCATATATTTTTCCGTAAAAAGCACTGCGACAAAAATTTGTCATTGATACAGAATAGAGCCGTTAGTCAAAATAATCGGTTAGTTTTTGGAAAAAGTTCTAATAACGGTAAAGTTTTCGCACTTACATCAAGTCGGGTGGCTCCTCCAACGATTCAGAATTCGAATTAGAATTAGATCCTTTTCTAGAGTTGCTTGCCGATATCATGGAGCGCTTCAATTGTTCGTTATACTGCTGCTTGCCATTACAGTTGGCAAATGTGCCGCCACTGAAACCACCCGCACCACCAACAACACCACCACCGCCATCACTTCCATTACCGCCACCACCAGAGCTACCACCACTCGCATAACCATTTGTGCCGCCTAGCGCATGACCGCTCTTACTCTTTAAGATACGCGTCTCCGAGCGACGCATCGGACTAGATTGCGGATCGGGTGATTTTGTGCTGTACATATAACCATAAGGACTGCCACGACTATCGCTGCCACTACCAGCGCCACCGCCGCAGCTACTGGCGCCACCACTGCCCGTAGCATGCTGAAAGTGCTCCAATTCCGTACGGCCACGATGCGCAGGCGGTGATGTGGGATCGCTGGAATTGTGTGCCGAATATTTATTTGCCTCCAGCATCTCCTTTTTACGCTCCAAATCTAGCTTATCGAATTCGGTGAACAATTGTCGATAGAGCAGATTGCGCCTCGTTATATCATCGTCAGGTGGCAGCTGCTTGCGCACCAAACGCGGATTCACTTTGTACACCAACAACAGTATGCGTTCGGCCACTTTGCGTACCGGCTCAGCCGGATGATGTATGCCCGAACAGCCGCATTCGGAGAGGGCGCGACACGTCAGACCACTGTGCTTGTCTGTGCTAATGCCTTGGCTGAGCACCAGCTGTTCCAGCATTTGCATGCGACTGAGCGCCAGGCGTGGATGTGTGCCCGAACTGACGCTGCGCGAAAGCGCTGGCGCTACCAAATGCTGTTCAATCACCTCCGGACAGGCAGCTATGCTGAGTATAGTGTGTTGAGCGAGTGTATGAATGCGCGCTGATGGATCACCAGATTTGGCCAAGAGTTCGGGTAGCAAACGATCCACACAACGTGCCACCTCACTCTGGGACACGCGTCCAGGCACATATTCGAGAAAGAGCACGCGTACCGTTTCGGTGGCTTGACTAAAGACTGAGTAGACAGCATCACGAACGGCGCGGTGGAGAAGAAGTGCAGCGCTGCGCGCAACCTTATTCGGCCCAGCCGTACTCTCGCTACCCGAATTGCAGTTGGATTTGGTGTTTGTATTCGGTTGCTCAGGATCTATGCCTTTTAAGAAATTTCGCAAGCTTATTAAGCCATCTTCGCGATCTTGAAATTGTCTCGAATAGAATTGTTCAACCTGTAAAGGGCGTACAAAGTAGCAGATATTAGAAGACATTTTCTTTAGTAATTAAAAAAAAAAAAAAACAGTTTCGCTTTGCCTTACCATATCATTACCGAATACGAGGATAGGTAGTGCAGCCTGGCGACGTTCGCGATCATTTAAACGCGAACGCCCGCGATTGGGATCGGCTTCCAGTAGGGCTGTACCTTGGCATTCCCTTAAAAATTCATTAGTATTTGAACTGCAGTACGAGTATATGTGTGTGTGTGTGTGCATATGCGAATACATATGGCGGTTACATTCATATGTATGTACATATGTATAGTAAGTACGAGCACGTTGGCAACAAACAACGATACATATATGTATGTATGTAGGATTTTATTTGCACATAGAAAAATGCATTTTATATAAAAGAAAGAAAGAAGAAAGAACAGAAATCAACTAAAAGTACACCAAGATGTGATCTATGATATGTACATATATGTTACAATAGAAGTACATACTTTCATATGTATGTAGATGTTTATTTTTATATGTATGTATAGTAGATATGTATGCATGTAGATATAGGATCTACATACCCAGCAGTAAATTTAACTTAATTACAAGAAGAAGAAGAATAATATAAATATGTACACCTGGGCGGAGTAATTTGTTCGTAATAAAATTTACGAAGAAAGTGTATAACAAATTCAAATTCTGCGATTAATTCTAAGAAAAAATGGCGAACAAACTATAAATAAAAAATGGCGTTTGACCCTCCCAAATTTTCAAAAGAAAATGCAATATGTTGTATGAAGAAAATACAAAATATTTTAAATAAAAAATTAATTTCGTTCAGAAAAATTATATATCATGAGTTTCGTTTTCCCCGAACCGGTTCACTTTTCACTCTTGGTTTCCATGGTTTTACTATGGGCGGATGACAAATTTTCGGGTGAATTTTTTTTCAGGCGAAACTCAGGATAAGGCAGAATATGTACACAGATTTTTCTTTTGAAAATTAGGAGAGTCAAACGTCATTTTTGGTATATAGTTTGTTCGCCATTTTTGCTTAGAATCGAACGTAGACCTCGAATATATACTTCTTGCGAAATTAAACTTCTCCCCCTAATGTAAGTACTACGCGCAGGTTCTATAAAAGTTACATCGCCAAAGTTTTAAAAAGTTTACATCAGTTTGCAGCTACTTTGTTACAAAGTGGCTCACTTTTTACTGCCGGGTATAGACATAAATATTCGTATTTTCTCTTACATATATGATGAAATGATGATTCTAATGAAGATTAATCAACCAATCACCATGCAAAAAATATGCAACGAGCTAAAAATTATCAGTCAATGTCATTGTGGCTTATTAACATTTATTTTATTTATTTTTTTTATTGAGCTTTGTACCACTATTATTTTATTAGAAAAAATGGAAAAATCAACAAAGTCTAAGCGGTAAAAGTTAGAAAAGTTAGAAGTCTAGAAAACAAAGTATGATGAGGAGATGTAGTGATCTCCGAAATAGCTGCTATAACTTCTACCGCTTAGACTTTGTTGCTTTTTCCATTTTTCCTAATAATTAAAAAAAATAAATAAAAATTATCACATTTTATTTATTTTATAAATTTTCCTCACAGGGCACAGGCAGGCATTCAAAAACGGCCAAAAGTCAACTTTACAATTTAAATTTTTTATGATAATAGCCAAAACAGACAGTATTTAAGGTAACTGTTAGTAAAATATTAGAGCAATTGTCTCAATATTGTGGTCACAATTCCATTTTCATTAAAATAATTGTATTTGAAATTTACAAGTCCGGTATATAGTAAAATTCACTTTTTTCCAGAAAATATTTTGTTTTTTGTTTCTTACTAATAAGATGCAGTAAAATAAAAAAAATAATTGAACAACGTAATTCAAAAAGCCTTTGCTGAAAATAATTCGACAGTTTTTATTGAGTCAGGCATTAATTTTTATGCATTGCTGCAAAATATCCCTCAAAATGTGGAAACTACCCACAATCTGGCATCACTGGTTATATCAGAGACAAAGGATTCAATTTGTCACGATGGCTTGGATGATAAAGACGAGGTGGTGGAAGACTTTGTTATTGATGATGTGAACATCCATATTGACTTCAAGTCTAAATTGGCTGATTGGGCTAGAAAATACAAAATAGCCCCCTCTGCTAGCAGCANTGATTGGGCTAGAAAATACAAAATAGCAACCTCTGCTGTATCTGAGCTACTTGTTTTATTGCGGAGCGAAGGAAAAACTGTAAAAATGCCATTAAAATCGGGAACTGGTTTTTTCCATTTCAAATTTCAATTTTTCGTACAACTCAAAAACCGGTTTAGGAAAAGAAGAAAATAATCGAACACCCTAATATCGACCACCAGGTTGCTGCACTAATGAAATGTGTTCTTCTGTAATGGTCTTGCGATAATTACCTCCGTCTTGCCCAATACTCGGCAGCGTATTATTATTATTGATCCAGGAAAAATATTCACCCTGTTCTACAGCGTATTGGATTCTTTGTACAACCGGAAAATATTCGTCTCTGTATGACTGCTGACAAACGATTTATTTTTTTAACCGAAATGTCACAGTTTTTTTTTGTCCGTAGGGTAACAAAAAATATACATTCTACCTATAATAGCACACTTATTTACATACATATGTACGTGTGTGAATATTGTATGTGATCTTAAAAGACTCAAAATAGGTTAACTACTCAAGCTATGATACAGGGTCTTCTTATTCATGATAAGCTTAAAAACGTAGCTATCTACAAACTAAGTGACCCACATGACGGATGGAGATTTTCTACAATTATCTATGCATAAGTACACTACTTTTACCGGTATCCGGTTTTACCATATTTTTACGCTATCGCACTATTTATACCGTATTATACCATCACTACAACACCATTAAACTTACTGTCTCAACGTTGGTATTGCACGTTCTTCGTAGTCTTCATAAGAATTACGTGGTGCACTCTTATTCCTGCGACGCAACGAACCTTGTCGGCTAGACATTGGCGAGCTGTGTCGACTTGGACTTCGCCCTTTCCCTAATTTTGGTGAAATTGGTATGTCGTCGTGTGATTTGCGCAGTGCTGCATTTGATTGTAGTGACACGGAGTCGTTGGCATTGTGTTGTGCTGCAGCAGCTGTTGCTGAATGGACGCCTCCAACACGGCTCGAACAACAACCATCTGTTGAGGAGCGATCATCTTGCAGACTCTTTGGGCTCATTGTGCTTGTTTGATAGTGCGCTTCCGCTAGCGCTTGTGCGACATCTTGTAAGCTAGGCGCTGGTGGTAATATCGGTTTGCTGGCATACACTTCGCACGCCATGTCATTGGAAGCGTTCAAGCCATCCGCTTCCAATAAATCTTGCACCAACAAATGCTTCAATACAAGCGCCTTGTACATTTCGATTTGTTCCTTTCGCAACTTGGCTGTGGTGAAATCCTCCTGTTGCACCGCTTGCCGCTTAGCGAGCGCGTAACGGCCCAACCGCTCGCCAGCGGTACGCAACGATGTCATACACAACTTTAGCTTGCGTGCATATTCGAAGCGTTCCGCGCCCACCGCTTGCAATTTCTTCTCTTCCATTTCGCGTATTATCTCCGCTATGGACTCCTCGACATACATGGAAAAGAGCAAATCATCGCAAATAGACACCAACGTTGGTTCGGCGGTGCCAGCGTTAGCGCCTGTTTGAGCAGCTACGTCCGCGTTGCTCGACTCATTGCTCGACGTTGCCGCACCGTTGCTTCCAGCAGGTAACTGTGCTTGTGAATCCAGCTGCGCGCCACCATCCAACTCTACAGTAGCAACATTCTTATTCAATTCCTCNATACCGAAAAAACATACCACTGTTTTTTATCTTAAAATCAATAACAAGTTCCTAAAAAGCCATTTTTCTGGGAAGTGCACTTCGTAATTTCGGCGATGAAGTAATGCAAAAGAGTTCGCTAATTGGAATGATTGTTGCCAAACTCAAAATGAACTAGCGGATGCTTAATTTTTTTTTTTTTTAATTTGTTGACATTTGCGAGCTCTATTTTTTACGTGACTACTTAATAACCTAGGAAGCAAGTAGTACTGAAAGGAGTGAATCGACCACTCCCATGACAGCTTCCAGTTAAATTCGCCCTCTCGCTACAGAAGAAATAGGCAGAAGTAGTAAAATTTAATTTCATAATTCGGAAATACTTCCGTTTTCCTGCAGGGATACCTACTGGAAGAGCACAAAAAGAGCGTTCGTAAACTGTCTGAGAGAATAGTCAACATTTATGCAGTTGGTACTAATTATGAACACATCGAAAACGACATCACCACACACGACATTAAGGTTTTATCTACATAATCTAAACGCCTTGTCGACGGCGACATGATTTTTTTTGAACGCGGCAGCGGCACATGAATTTGTTTGAGTTTACATTTGAGCTACATTTTTGGCTAGTCGCAATGTTGGCGTATCGTCGCCAAAATAATTATCTACATAAGAGTACGTGTTAAAATAATTTGACAGCTGTGGTCCGTAGCCCATCGTTTCCAATGTGTTTCAAGCTTGAAGCTACAGCAGAGTTGTTGAGTTGGCGGCAAAGTGGGCATAAACAAAAGCAGAATGTAGAATAAAAAGAACAACGTTACCTAAAATAAATGTATGTGGATTAGGGCGGATCAATTTCTTTTCTACATCGTCCCTTGCATATTCGCTACATCCCTTGCACCATGGCTCCAAAGTCGATTCCGAGCCTGCGAAATTTTAAAAGCAGCTATCTTTAATTAATACAAAGTTAAAAACTTTGCTTTGGGGACCCTCACACTCCTTCAAGCCCCCGGGATGTACCTCTTTTCTAGGCTGCTCGCATAGATGAGGGTGAGCTAGCGGTGGGGTAGCAAATTTTTAAATTTTGGAAAAATCTATGCAAATTCACTACAATTGTAGCAAAGTAGCCACGCTGTATATCTGTGTGAAAAATTTATTATTTGTTAACTTACAATAAAGAAGGAAACCTGAAAAACTTTTTGTTTCCAAAGTAAAAATGAATTCCAAAACAATGTTATGAAATGCTACCACTCTCATTTCTCAATGGCTTTGACAAAGTATAGGCATCTCATCGCTTTAACATCGAGAAACGAGTACTGAATTAAAGAAGCGAAAGCATATTTCTTAATTCCAAATCAAGGTTTTTAGCAACAGTTGATTATTTGGATTAGAAATGCTTTCNACAAAAGCAGAATGTAGAATAAAAAGAACAACGTTACCTAAAATAAATGTGTGTGGAATTTTTTGCCACGTACCTCAAACTTTTCCTACAGGCATACACCCACTTACATACCTGTATACATATACATATATGTATATAGTTCCTATTTGCTCTTGCACTCTTAAAATTGCCATAATCTCCATACTTTAGTTCCACTTAATGACAGGGATGGAAAAGTGGGTACAATTGTACCTTTTTCCGACTTTTTCGAAGCAAAAGGTACATTCGGTACACTGAGCTCAATTTAGGTACAATTAGACGATGGCCAAATAAATATCCATATTTAAGACTACGTTGCTCGCGAAAAAAAAAATTTAGGAAAATTTTCGTAAGCAAGGAACAACAAGAAATCTTTGCAAAGTGGCCAAGTTCCAAGAACAGTGAAAAACTCCTCCCCTTTTGAGGGATTTCTAGCAAAGTGGCTACACTGCATGCGTGTCAATTTCAATTGTGAATGAGTTGAAAGTGCGGAATAATATAATTAAAGGCGGAAATATCTGTAATCTGAATGTACTCTGGCGGGAATTTATTCTTGCAACGATGAGTAAGAAAGTCAAATTTTGAGTNGTTGATTATTTGGATTAGAAATGCTTTCGAATTTTTTGCCACGTACCTCAAACTTTTCCTACAGGCATACACCCACTTACATACCTGTATACATATACATATATGTATATAGTTCCTATTTGCTCTTGCACTCTTAAAATTGCCATAATCTCCATACTTTAGTTCCACTTAATGACAGGGATGGAAAAGTGGGTACAATTGTACCTTTTTCCGACTTTTTCGAAGCAAAAGGTACATTCGGTACACTGAGCTCAGTTTAGGTACAATTAGACGAAGGCCAAATAAATATCCATATTTAAGACTACGTTGCTCGCTAAAAAAAAAATTTTGGAAAATTTTCGTAAGCAAGGAACAACAAGAAATCTTTGCAAAGTGGCCAAGTTCCAAGAACAGTGAAAAACTCCTCCCCTTTTGAGGGATTTCTAGCAAAGTGGCTACACTGCATGCGTGTCAATTTCAATTGTGAATGAGTTGAAAGTGCGGAATAATATAATTAAAGGCGGAAATATCTGTAATCTGAATATACTCTGGCGGGAATTTATTCTTGCAACGATGAGTAAGAAACTCAAATTTTGAGAAAAATTTAGCTCAAGTTCGGCTGCCCACGAAGTACCACTAATAATACCCAATTGTTCATTTTACCATTTCTAATAATAGCACGTTTTCTATGGATCCCCTATTGCATTTTTTGAGAGTCTTAAGGGTCCTATAAGAAATAGTTAATAAAATAAAGCGGTTAAATAAACAATTGGATAATATTATTGAAAGTCTCCAAAAGAAAAACGAAGTTTTCCGATCGAAAGCTTTGAGTGCTTTGAGCGACCCCAAAAAATTTTTTTTATTTGCAAATAAAAACAATTTTTTCGGTATATGTAGTACAATCCTAGAGAGTGAGAGCATTAAAATTCCAACTTTACTTTTATATGGATCACCCCAATGTACATATATACATATATCTTTATTGAAGTTTTATGAACAGGGAACGGAATTTTAGGACCTAAAAACGTATAAAAAAGGCAAAATAAAATAATGAAATAGGTTGGAAAAGGCAAAATAAAATATCGAAATAGGCAGGAAAGGCACTAGAAATAGCAAAAAAGGCAAAATAAGGCACTAAACAAAGACAAGAACTTAAAAATTGCATTAGTTTACAAAACAAATGTTCAACGGACGCCACTACATATCCAATTCCTATATAGAATTGCTTGCTTATCCGAAAATCGAGTTAACTTTTTATACTATGGATACGTTTTCGAGATATTTTCAGGTGTACATGGGGAATGAGTAACATTCTTCCCTATTATCAGGAATAAGGACTTTTTCCTCGCTATAATCACTTTATAAAAGGTACACTAGGCAAAAAAGGCAATATCACATGTGTATATATAGAATCTGGGAAAGCTAAATCGTGGTCATTCTTAATCGAATATACTCTAGCTCTTTAGCAGAAAAAAGGCAATTTCCATAAAATCCGTTCCCTGTTTATGAATATTAATTGATATATTAATCACATTCTTGTTAATGCAAATAATGTATAAATTTATTAAATTGTTACCAATTGTCTGAAAGTAATAGAAAAAGGCAAAAAAATCGTGAGTTACTTTTTAGGTACATTTGACAGCAAAAAGGTACATTTCTATTATCAAATTAGGTACAGTTTGAAATTTCGATTTTCCATCCCTGCTTAATGAAACAGCTGAGCAAGAAACAAGCATATTTTTAAACAGATATACATACATATGTACATATATACTTGCTTATCAATGGCCTGCCACACAACAAACGCGTTAGTAACGCTCCAAGCACACAGTGGGTTTAGTCATACGGAATAATAAGCTGTAGATACATTCAAAACTAGTAACTCTCAACGAAAATAGAAAAACTTACATACATATATTAGCTGCAAGTGCTTCAAGTGGTTCTTCAAAATTATAACTTGCTGAATCAGCGAAAACCAAAGTCGAAAATGGCTACTTCAAATACAAAATTGACAAATTCGGAGGCTGCGTCCATTGGGAGAACGCTCCTCTCCATATGGTTACAGATACAAAGTATACTGAATAGTATCAATCACATATTGATCGGACTGATTGCCATCTATTTCACGGCGCTGGGACGTAGCCTGAACTTTCAGAATACAGCCATGCATGCCTTGCTCAGTGTCATCGGGGTATGTATGTATGATCAATTAATAAATGTATGTTTGAACATACGATGTGTAAAAAATATAGATTGTGAGAGCTCAGTAGATTTCAGAGCAGGAACCGGCAATCAAGAGAGCATATGTTTGCTTACCTTTGATCGGTAATAACTCGCTTATTTGGCGTATCTTATCGTGCTTCATTAGCTTTGGGGTATTTATTTACTTATGTGTGTTTGTACATATGCAGGTATATAATATGTATCGACATAAGCCTGTTACAATTTTAATGAAGTTTTTAGTATATATATTTTTTTTTATTAAGCATGAGAACTCAGTTTGCAAATTGAAATAACGTAGTAAAGAGAATAGCCGTTTCTATCAAAATAATTAAAAAATTTTAGTCGTATTTTGTATTCTAAGGGTCAGTTTTTCAGTGCCAGTTTAAACTTAGATTAAGTAAGCTGAGTTTAAATTGAACAGCTGGCTGGCATTTGATTGGCTGATCTTAGATTAAACCAGCCAGATCGGGCGTTTAAATTTAGTTTAAACCACGGCCGTGCACTGAAAAACTGGCCCTAGGCATCTCAGTTTAACCTATTTTTAACATAGTTTTCAAAATACGACTATCTTCAAGTTGCTGAGTTTCATGAAAACATTTTTTTGATACTTTTATGTTAAATTACGTAGACAAAACTTACAAAACTTTTTGATCTGAAAAACGTTAGAATTTATCAATGAAATGGGAAGCTAGAGGCAAAAACAGTTGGAGTAATTAATAATTGTTTCACTTTAATTTCTTTCTATGTAGTGTAGAAGTCGATAGATAGTCGATATATCGAAAAATTAAACTAGATAATTATCGGTATATTTGTTCAGATAATTATCGATATAATTATGAATATGCATACATATGTGTAGGGGTCTTTATCGATATATTTATTGATGTGAATATCGATATATTTATTGAGATAATTATTGATAGATATACATGAGTATTTTTCGATATCCTTTCAACATACATACACTGCCGGCGAAAAGTATTGGCACAGCAAATTTTTTACAATATATGCCAAAAAAATGTCTTATATTTTTTTTTAAATATGGTTCATTTTACAACAAAAAAAAATAAAAGTATAATTCGTAAACTTTGTGCAAAACTCGCGATAATTCAGCAAATATTTATACAAATTAAAAGTTAACTTTTTAATCAGATTTTTTTGAATTTGTTTGAGTATGCAGTTTCGCAGCCCATTAAATTCTAGTAAAAAAATGCAAGTTCGGAGCTTGTCAAAAAGTTTTGGTAATATTTGTTTTTGTTGAAGTTGTTTTGCGTTTTTCCATATAAAGTATTTTCGAAAATTTTTTTTTGTATGGAAGAAACTGCGGGGAAAAAATTGGAAAAAATCAGC